GTGCGGCGTAAAGAGTTTTCCCACCCAAGAAGCGATGCCACCATCGCCATCTTCCTCTTCATCGTCATCGTCGCTCGCGTAGATCTCGTCCCCGTCGACGTGCACAGACAACTCATCGCCAGTACCCATCTGCAAGATCACTTGGTAGGCTGTGTCTGCTTTCCACGTAACATCATCATCTGACAAACTCCGGCTCTTGCCGCCGACCGTCACTTTCCACTTCTTGTCCTGCGTGCACGACACACCCAGGAGGACGGTGCCGGCCGTGTCATTCATGCTCACGCCCAGCAAAGGCGTGTCCTCCTCCAGCACCGTGTGGATCGTCACCGTCGCCACAAGAGCGAACTTGTTGTTCGCAAAGTAGTACGGCTGGTTCTGCCCCCTGCTTCCCACGGGCCACTCCGCCCCCGCTCTGGCGCCGCTGAACGTCACACCTCCCTTCTCGCTTGTCGCCGCCCCACCTTTCACAGTCGCGTTCACGCCGCGGTACTCGTCCACCCACGCACTCCCGGCCAATGTGTTGGACAAAAGGCCAACCAGCCCTTTGGTGGGAACAGGACCGTTGCACACGCCATTTATCCGCGGGTTGAGGCTGCCACTGGGTTTGCATTTATCCAAGGCGGCGTCCAATGCAGTCCAACTCTGCACCACGGACTTGATTTGCTCCAGCTGCTTTGCCAGGCTCAGAGATACGACGCCGTCAGAGTCTCCATTCTTCTTCTCGTACAGTAGTATCAACTCCTCCTCCGGCGCACCGCTTCTGTACAGCAGGGAACTGGCAGCGGCGTCATCACCGGCAGCGGACACCGGCCCGACATCGTGCACGCGGGAATTGTCGGTCAACCAAAGATGCAGACGACCGTTTCCGTTGACTGCGTCCGCCGAGTACACCGGCGTGGTGAGGAGCATCACCTTTTTCTCCTCGATGTCTGCCGTGATGAAGCCGCTCTGCACGCCGTCCCCTCCTTGACGGTTCAGCGAGGTGCCCCACACGCGGGTAATCGGCGCACCGCCTAACCAATCTACCCCATGCACAGTGGACTGATAGAGGTCGTAGGAGCCTCCCGCACAGGGAGCCATCGCGAGAAGTTTTTCGCCGTCGCCCCACTCCACGATGGACGGGTCCCTGCAGCCCTCACCGGTCACAGCGGACGAAAGCGTCCATTTATCCCCGGATGGCGAGAAGCGCATGGCCAGCAGAACGCTCTCTCCATCCTTGATTGCCTGCATGGGGAACACAAGCGTGCCGTCCCTCAGCACAAGGCCCGAGCCTCCGCCGCCAACCAGCCGCGTCAGGGAGTTGAGACTTCCGCGAGCTTCAGGCTGCACCGCATGGGTCTCACTCCATTGGATTTTCTTCGCTTCACCGTCTCCAGTGACAGTTCCCTTCACCAGCAAAAGATTCCAGCCAGTTTTTCCGGAAACTTGACTTGCAGACGATGCACGGCTGTAGTTTCCCAGCAGCATGTAGACCTCGTTGCCAACCACAACTGTTGCCGGCCGCATGATCTCCGTTGCCATCTTCTCAGCCGCGCCGTCTTCAGGCTGCGTGTAAAGGAGTTTTGTGTCCGCCATCGAGACCTCCGTCGGAGCAGCAGCGGCAGCAGCTTCCTTGAGGAGCTTGGACGCAATGCCAATAAGAACCCCGGCCCCGCCACTTTCCTTCTTGCACTCAGCTTCCGCAACGGCAAACACCTCGCCGCCCACCTCCACGAGGCTGGGGACGCGCAGCGAGCAGACTGGCCCCCCAGTGGATTTAACCTCCTCCCACTTGGCACCGGATACCAGTGTTGTCCCTGCAAATGGATCGATGGCCGTCGCTGCGACAGGCCCATCAGCCTGCACAGACTCACTGCCGCAGCATATTAAAAAGNGGAGGAGCAGCGCCACAGAAGAGAACAGGCGCCGCGGCAGTGTTGGGCCGCTGCCGCTCACTCGCTTCC